TAGCTGAAAATGCGCTGGGCCAGGATGGCTGAAGCATTGCTGGATGATGGGGTGTGACAGCACCAAGGGTCATCCCTGTCTTTCTCTTCTGATGAGGCTGGAGAAGAGCTGATTTCTACTGCATGTGTTTCACTTTTGCACATTGTGAAGTTGAAAATTGTCATGTTGAACCACCATAAAGTTGGAAACCATCTGTACACAATTTTTTGTCAAAAATAATCTTTAAACAAAAATTAAAGACAGTTTCCAGGTTGTGGTACAGGGAGAAAGATTCCCTAGGTGAGGAGGCGGAGCTGAGGCAGCTAGAGCTAGTAAGTCAGAATACAAAAAAGAAGAAAGCTTACAAAGAGAGAAACTCCGAGATCTGCAGAGGGACCCTTTGAGCATTGATCAGTGTGGATTGGTGCAACATGCAAGGAAATGAGCTAAGACTGAGGAAAGAACAATGTGAAAGAACTAAAAGGAAAAGTACCTGTTCCCTCCAGCAAGATTGGAAAAAAACTTAGGATTGATGTGGCATTGGGTAAGGAATTCAGAAAGGTCCTGCTTCAGTGGTAGGAGATAATTACCCTATTGCACACTGCTTCAGACCTGCCTAATAAATCATAAAGGAGGACCTGAACAAATTAAACTATTTCCAGGTAACGAACAGCATCCCAGAACAAAGCTTAAGAAGATTTATAGTACTATAAAATTATCAAGCAGCCAATAGGAATATAAAAATATTAAGATGAGGTAAAATTCATGAAGTCTGGCGTACAAGCAAAGATTGCCAGGTAGCAAAGAGAAAGGAAAACATAACCAATAATGAGAATAATCAATCAAAACCAACCCAGAGCCGACACAGATGTTAGAATTAACAGAGAAGTACATCAGAACAGGTAGTATCATTATTACCCATGTATAAAAAGTTAGCTAGATACTCTAAACTACCCAAATCAAACTTCTGGAAATGAAAATAATCTCAGATAAATACATTGGATGGGATTAACATCAATTAGTCATTACAGAAGAAAAGAATCATGAAGTTGAAGATACAACAAAAACTACAAAATGAAATAGAGAAAAAGTAAAAAAAATTGTTAATGAAAAGAAAATCCAACAGCAATCTCCAGCAGCCTAATGTATGAATAACTGGAGTCTCTGAGAGGAAAAGGAAGGGAGGAGAACAGGAACAAGCTTGAAGGAGGAATGGCCACGCCCTGGCTGGTGGCTTGGTTGGTTGGAGTATGGAACCATTTGGCTGTGGGTTTGGTTTCTGGTCAGGCACATGGCTGGGTTGCGGGTCTCATCCCTGGTCAGGATGAGTCAGAAGGCATCCAGTTGATTCCCTCTCCCTTCCTCTCTCTCTAAGATCAATTTTAAAAAAGAAAGAATGGCTAAAATTTTTTCACATGTGGAGAAAACTATAACCCACAGATCTAAGAAGCCCTACTCCAGGCATAAGAAACAGGAAGAAATTGCTCAAAACCAGTGATAAAATTGAAAACCAAAAAGCAACCAGCAGGGCCGGGGGCAGATATGTTCCATACATAGGAATAAAAATAAGAATGGACATCCAATTTCTCATTGAATTCAAGTACAAGCGAGAAGACAGTGGAACAACACCTTTAAAGTACAGAAAGAAAAATTGTCAACATAGAATCCTATAGCAAAAGTATCTTCTAAAAATGAAGACAAGGTAAGATATTTTCAGGTATACAAAACCTGGAAGAATTCATTACCAACTTTCACTACAAGAAATGTTAAAGGATGGACTTCAAGTAGATTAAAAATGGTTGGAAATCTGGAGCTACACACACACAAAAATGAAGATCAAGAAATGGTAATTACATTGATAAACATAAAAGGGTTTTTGGGTTTTTTTTTATCTAAAATTGTTTAAAAGATAATTGTATAAACAAAAATTTATCATGGAGTTTATAGCTTAACATGTAAAATGCCCGGCAATAATAGTACAAAGGTTGGAAAGGAAAAATAAATGTAAGCACTGTAAGATTTTATACTGTCCATGAAGCAGTGTACTATAACTGTGGGTTAGAAATGTATACTGTAAACTTCAGCAACCACTAAAATAACAGAACAAAGAGATATAGCTAATAAGACAACAAAGAAGATAAAACAGAATCATAAAAAAAAAAATACTGTATTAATCCAAAAGAAGGCAGGTAAAAAAAGGGAACCAAAAAAAGGACAAATAGAAAACAAATAGCAACATGATAATATAATCATAGCAATAATTACATTACATGAAACTGGCCTAAACACCCACCAATTAAAAGGTAGGAATTATCAGATTGAATTAAAAAGCAAGATCCAATCACTGCTATAGATATAAAGCCAGAAAAAATATTTAGAGTGAAAGATTGAGGAAAGATAACCTTGCTTATACTCATCAAAAGGAAGCTGGAGTGGCTATATTAATATCAGACGAAGCAACTTCCACAGCAAGACATATTACTACAAAGAAGGTTGTTTAATGATAAAGGGATCAATTATGCACCAAGATGCAATAATCCTAAATGTTTATACATCTATTAAAATACCTTAAATACATGAAGCAAAAGCTAATAGAATTGCAAAGAGAAATAAATCCATAAATGTAGCTGAAGATTTCAACACTCCCCCACCCCACCAATAACGAATAGAACAAATGATCAGAAAATCAGCAATGCTATACTGGCTTGAACAAATCCAAGGTCACAATGATTTACCCCCATGTTTTCGTCTAAGAGTTTTATAGTTTTAGCTCTCAAATTCTTTAAGTTTAATTAGTTAAAATTAAATAACATGTAGAATTCAGTACGTCAGTGCACTCCCACATTTCAGGTGCTCATGTGGCTAATGTTACCACATTGGTCAGTGTAGATGCAGAATATTTCCACCAACACAGGAAGTTCTTTTGGACACCCAAACTCTCAAATCCCTTTAAAAGAACATAGAAAAATGAACTAAGCACTTGAACAGGTAGTTCACAAAGAAATAAATAAGTGGGCAAGCTCATATACATAAAATTGTTCAGAGTTAAAGAAGTCTGAATTGAAACAGAGGTGGTCCGAATAGCTGCAGCGATCCTGAGAAAGAACAAAGTAGGTGGGATCTCAATACCAGATATCAAGCTGTATTACAAAGCCACTGTTCTCAAAACTGCCTGGTACTGGCACAAGAACAGACATATAGATCAATGGAATAGAATAGAGTGCCCAGAAATCGGCCTGAACCAGTATGCTCAATATTTGACAAAGGAGGCAAGAACATACAATGGTGTCAAGATAGTCTCTTCAATAGATGGTGTTGGGAAAATTGGACAGATACATGCAAAAAAATGAAACTAGACCACCAACTTACACCATACA